TGTCATTTCCTACAATTCTGCATAACTCCAATTCAACTTTCCTAGTAGTGTTTTAAAGACATTCTAACTTGCAAATTTATAAACCGTAAAAGAAGTTTGGTGCATGTTTCCTGTTGCTTTCTAAAACTTTTATGTCTAATTGCATTTCATATCATGAAAATAGAAGGTAAGAAATTCACCCTGTCTTAGTGAAGGACTTAGAGGAAAACATCTACTTTGAACTTTGCATTGGTATCCAGGACCAAGAAGAAAGCTAAAGAAAAAAATTCAGAAGCAATACCTCATGCCATCCCTGCAATACATGAAGGAGACAAAGCAAAACTAAAACCAGAGAATCATCTAAGAGGCAACTCAATCTATCAAATTCTGATTTCAAAAACAAATCCGGTAACAGTATAATAAAGATGAGAAAAGCTTATGAGGAACGAGTTTGAACTGATAATGGGATTGTTTGCAGAACTCAAAAACCTTCTAACAAAAGGGAAAAAGATGGATGTCTACGGCATTTAACCTAAGCTTAAATATTCACTTCATACAGCATGTAGGAACCTGGCAACATCAGGGAAGTCTGATTATGAACAATTGGATGTAGACAATGAACTGATAGTTGGAAGTCTCCTGAACATGAAATTTAGATTCAAGAACAGTCAAAGTAGATTACAGATTGCAAAGCAGATTGAGGAAGCCTCTAACACAGAAGGATTTATCAGAAACCAGTGAACAAAATCTTGAGAATTTGTGACTAATAGGAGCTTCTTGTAGCAAGGGGTCTGGCCTGAAGTGAATGAGTCTGATCATCATCAAGAATGTAGCAAAAGATACTTGGATCAACAACTTCACCAGAATAACTACCTAGTTTGTTATAGAAAAGATTAATTACCTCTGTAAAATCAGCTTTGCAATGCATATATTCTGAATCCTTGATCTGTATCTCTCTCATCCATCTTTGTATCAAACAGGGCATGAAGAGACAACTTATGACACTGCAGTACAAGAGATGGAATTCAAATGATAGCTGTATGAAAATAACAATTCAACCAGAAATTAAGATAATAAAACATATGTAAGGAATTAGATTGTTTGACTCATCCACCTGATAGGATTCTGTCTTGTGAATCTCTGTTACAAACGTTAAACTGTCTCTACATCTCAGTGTTCCCCATCACTGAACCGGGGACCTGTTTGGAGAAATTTAACATAAACTGTCAAAATTTGGGAGCTGTGCATTAGAAACACATGAAAAAATGAATAAATATATTTGTGGGGAAGAGAAACATGAAAAGGAATATGAGGACTCACTAGCTTCAATGAACTCTGAGCATCATATGTTATGATTTCAACTCTCCACGGTAATGAGCAACTTCACCTAATTAAATAACCAAGCAAATGGCTTAAATTTGACTACTTGCAGCTGTTTAGGTATTGCATTCTCTTGGCAATACTAAAAACTTGGAAACTACTCAACCTAAATTTGAGATATAACATATGGTATATGAAGGGTGACAATAAGATTTGAAAATCAAGCATACCTTTGGGATCTTACCACCCAGCCATTGATTCTGATGCTGTGAATGTGGCAAATGTTGCACCATTTGGGACTGTGTTCCTCAGCATATCCCATTAAATTGGGACAATCATTTATATCAAGAGATATTAAATTCAACTGCCTCCTTGGGATAGCCTGCAGGTTCGGACATGAATGTATGCTTAGTATAGAGAGCATAGGAGATGCAGATCCATCTATCCACCATGTTTTGAACTCAGGGCAATCCTTAATATGCAGCTCGTCTAGGCTAGGAAACACATCTGTGTCTTCTGCTGTCCATTCCTCCAGCTTTGTCATGTTACTTAAAATGAGTTTTCTCAAAGCTGGAAATGGTGTGATTGACCGTCCGACATCCTGGCTGCTGCTTGCAATGTTGCTTCTGTTATAATAAAATGTGCTGCCAATCCTCTTCACTTTTGACATTGCCCTTATATTGAGAACCTTAAGCTTGGGCAAGAGTCCAAGACACAAAATATCACCACATTCATCACAATCAATTAATTTCAACTTCACAATACTGTTGAGTCGAAATGAAGAGGCTGAACTGCTGACATCCTTCACCATCCATGAGGGGAAGTTGACTCCCTTATAATTCTCAATAGTTAAGCTTTTCAAATTTGAGTGAGGTCGAAGGTGATCCAGAACAACCTCATCGCTGTTGCTGATGGCTCTATTTTTACTCCACACAAATTGCAACTTCAACAATTTTACCTTTGCTTCTAGTTTTGCTTCAGTAGCTTCTGATTCACGTACTTGCTCCAGGTTGTAAATTTTCAGTTTTCCTCGGAGTTGGCTTAAATATTTAAGTTCTTCAATTCTTTGCCCCTTTTTGGTGCCCACAACAAATAGTGGCAAAGTCTGAAGAGAAGTTAACTTCCCGACACCACGTGGCATGTGCCTTTCATCATTAAAATGAATATGCCTCAAGCTAACTAGATTTCCAATATCGCTTGGAAGATCCATCAATGATCCGCATCCCATGAATCTTAAAGTCTGCAAATTGTAGAGCATCGTGACAGATTCAGGTAGTCCTTTAATTTCACTTTCTGATATGTCAAGGTATTTCATACAACACTTCAATTTGCCAAGATATTCTTGCAACTTTTTTCTGTCAACAGCTGCTAGTTTTAAAGATTGCAAACTTCTGAGGGGTAAAGCCCTGGTGCGGAAAACATCAACCTCCAAGAACAAAGATCGCAACCTGTGAGCAACACCACTTGGAAAGGCTTGAAGATTAGCATCAGAAATGACCCTCATATGTCGAAATCTAGAACTCTCCTCAATGGGACAGCTATCTGGCCAAATACATGTTTCATATTTTGAAATAAACAATGCAAGGTTATGCACATCATCATGCATCTTGCAAGACTTGATATTTCCATACTTATCCATCTCCACATCTTGGAATAAGTAATTGGAGACCAAATCATTGAGGTACTTGTCACCAACATCCTCTTCTTTATCTGATTTGCGGTCATCATATTGGTGAAGAAACCCTCTAGCAAGCCAAAGTTGGACTAGATCATCCCTTCTAATTTCAAAACCTTTTGGAAAAATTGAACAGTAAGAAAAGCATTTTTTCAAGGGTGAAGGCAAATGATCGAAACTTTTCTTTAGTTTAGATACAATCTCCATTCTATGTGGTGAATCCCATACCATATTATTCTTTATAGCCAACCACTCATCTGCATCCGTATGATGGCTCAATGTTTCACCAATGACAGCTGCAACTAGTGGCAAGCCCCCACACTGTTTTGCGATATCTAACAAATCCATAGGTATTGTAGTTATTCTGGATGATCTGAGAATCTTCTCCTCCATTATTAACCGACATCCTTCATCTGACAGCTTCTGCAATTCATACTCTTGCATAGGAACTGCATCCATTAGAGAAGTTGAAGCTACTACCTGTTTACTACTAGTTGTTACAACAATAGAGTTCCCAGTAGTTTTCAAAATATTTAACAAATAAGAGAAGAGTCTCTTCCAGTTACGAGGATCTTCATTCCACACATCATCAAGAACAAGAAGAAATCTTTTATTTTCTAACATGCTTTTAAGCCTTTTAAGTATTGCACCAGGATTAACCATTGGACCACCATTGCTACCAAGATATTCCAACATACCTCTTAAAATCATTTTTTCATCAAAATTCTTAGACAAACACACCCAGGCCACCAGATCATACAAGTTTTCTTCCTCTGCCCTCTTATATATCGATCTGGCTAATGTCGTCTTTCCAACACCTGGCATTCCTACTATGGAAAGCCCAGAGAGAGGATTTTGCCTGCTCAAGTCAGACAGCAATCTGACAACTTTTGAGACATCATCATCCCTTCCCAAAACTTCTGAATTATCAGAAGAATAGGGGGTTGTCTCAATAGGATCTTGGCTAAGAGTTGGATGATTATGGAGTAGATTGATCAAACTTGCCTCTCGTCTAATGTTATCAAAAGACTCCTTAATCTCCTTAATTTTGCGAGGCATGGATGTGAATAGAGAAGAGAAAGTCTGCACCTGTTTCTTGATTTGGTTTTTAGTCCCAACTTCCTGCTGATGAACTGCATAAGCATATTCATCCAGTAAATCCACCAGATTGTGAGCTTCATCTTCGACCCTCTGCAACCAATTCCTTACTGCGTCATGACTTTTCTTCATGTCCTCCGCAACTTCGAGCAGAGACTGCATCATGATGAGCGACTCTCTCAGCTCCACCAGCTGCTTCT